AAAAAAAAAAGAAATCAAGCAGTTAATAAGCAACTAATAACCTGGTAACAAGTCAAGCACACCCAAACTTCCTGATCGGTATGACAGATAGAACACATTGCAAAAGCATTCACACCAGATTCAGGCACATCGTTAACCTAAAACGCATCTTGATATTAAAAGAAATAACTTTAGCAAATTATTTAAATTCCACCTAAGCTGTCACTGAAGAAATGAATCCCTCGTGAGCTTCACAAAATTCGTAACTGGTAAACAAACGGTAGACCTGAGACAAATGAGGACATTCTTGCAGAGGAACAACAATATACATTTCGACTTCATCTGAAGCGCTGCTGGTTCCACCGTCAGTATCTCGCTGGTTCAGAGAAAGGTCCATTATCTGCAAAACTCGAAACCACTATAAAAGAAGGCAACAAAAGATACCATTAACTGCCATAGCTAATACAGCAAATAACGACACTACTGTACCATTCCAGTACCACTGACAAACGAACCACGCAAATTATTATAGCAGAGTCGAACATTGTCTGTCACCTTGTCCCTGCACTAAACAGCAAGCATCTCTGTTTTACTAGCATCCGCTATTCTTGATGTGATGTAGTAAGAAGTTTTTTTAACTGATCATAGCAAAAAAAAACTATCCGAACTAATTCTGTGTCAGAAGCCTTTCCAGCTTCCTCTTCATAGCTGATCGTGTCAACAAGTGTTAATTTTACACATTTTGCAGTCGGAACAAGTGTCAACTTTTCAGTTACGAGTGCAAAATGACAAAATGCTTAACTTGTTTCTATACCGTACCCTACTCAACTACCTCAGTCTGTCAAATAAACAAATGCTAACTTACAAAAAATAAAAAATCTAAGAAAAAGCCAACAGACTGAAAAAAGTGAGTTGATCTATCTAGTTATTTATTATCAGTATGAAAAGTGCCTTAAAATTTATCTCCATAACCAGCGAAGAAGCCTTCAAAAGTAATGGCAACTAAACTGATAAGGACTGTGTAAAAACGCATACGCTTTCCTGATTTACAGCTTTCCTACTAAGGAATGAACAATTTTTTTGAAAACCTATTGGTGTAGTAAACATCAGTTTTTGAAATTTCACGTAAGTAATAAGGCACTAACGCGGCATCCAAACACTTTAACGGTGGCACATCATTAAATGTGCATCCCCTTGCGCAACTTGCAGAAGCAGTAACGAAGATTTGCCTACCCCATTTAAAACACGCTAAAGTAATAAAAGCTACCTAAACCAGTACCGCATTTTCATCCACATTTGCTTCCCTCATAAAGAACTTTTTTTGTGGTTTTCCAAGTACTTATTATTTAGAAGACAGACACCACCTTACACAATTTGCATTAGCGTGCGAGCGGTCCGCCAAGCTCGTTTGCATTAATTTCTGAGCATCAGCTGCCCGCTGCAACTAGCGACAGCCATGCCTTTTAGAAGTTTGTCAACGTTTCCCGAACTGTTAGGCTTGAAGAAAAGAGCATAAGAGAATAAGAAAGAGGCATTCAAATGCTGGACATAACATTGGACTATTTCCCCCTGCTTTTTGGCTGAATTCTGACAAGAGCCAAAATTAAATTACTGATATCAGTCGCAACAACTAATAGTATCACAGAGCAAGAGTTCTAGACATTAAAATAAGCAAGTTTCACACAGAAAGAAATCTTCGCAGAAGTATTCCTCGAAAACAGTCAAATCAGTTTCCTTTGCAAAGAAAAAAACGGCGTGCACGACCCCTGACACCTTCTTTATCAGTGCTGCAGTTTTGCAAAATTCATTTTAACCTTCGCTCTAAATCTTCGCGTGAAAACTTTTTACCTCAGCGCCTTCGTGCACTTTTGAACTCATCGCCCTTTCGCTGCACATACCAATATTCAATATGCAAAACTTTGGTCGTGTATGGCTTTAAAGTGAAATAAGAAAAAAAAGAAATCAACTACTCGTTTTCAAAAAGTACACTGCACAGACAAATGCTGCGCATTTTAAAAACAGCAGGTCAAATTCGCTTTTTATACCTTTAAAGATGATCGCAGAAACTACAGGTAAAAAAACTGATTCAACTCCGCCTTTTTGATCAAACTTTTGCAAAAGCTGAAACTAAATTTCTAAAATCACTCAATCAATTCGTATCACAAAAATTTTTAATTCACATAATTTAAATAAATTTTTTCTTCCAGCTGCACTAGAGTTATTAAAGTTTACGTCTTAGGTCAAGCTCAAAATCACATTATTTACTTCCCTGTGGCAGTGCTCTTCTCAGTGAACCACTGAGAGTGAACCACTACTCAGCACTATTTAGACCTAAACTTATCAAATTTATTGGCATTTTTGTCTGCTTCAAAAAAATGGGCTGCATTGCCACAAAAAAAATATATATGTATGTATATATTGACAAATTATTGAACCCATCAGATAAGTACTTTGCATCGGGAGAACACCTTGAGGCTTCAAAAGCATAGCTGAAGTAAACTGACACGACTACAGGGTACTATCAAAAAGCCGCGTATCAAAGTAGATTTCCGACTGTTTCCGCTACACTTACATTTCTCTGTCAAATATTCTCGGCCGACAGTCATAACCTTCGAACTTATGGCGATCCCATAACAAAAATTTTATAATCGATATTTCAAGAAATCCTGTACAAAACATTTTTTCAAAGAATAAAAAAATAAAAATCATTCTGACGGCCCTCAAGTAATACTTCTATGAAGCCTTTTCCTATATAAAATTTGATCCCGTAAAGAGTTTACATAATTAGTGAAAATAACCGTGGAAAGTTAAAGCCATAGTTTTTAAAAAAAAACTAGAAGCCACTTGTCATGTTTTTAAATGACATTTCTGGAAGAAGCACCAACTGCGTAAAAAATTGGAAAAGTTTGGCCTTTTGACGGAATACAATTTGAAAGAGGACTGACTCTTCCAGGTTCTGCTTTCTCTTTTTATTCCCAAGCCAGACTTTATAATCAGCAAAATTTGAAAAAGACCTGCAATAACAAGCGAAAAAAGTGCGCAATTTGGTGCAAACAAACT